CAAGAAATAATGTAAAAATTAGGGAAAAAAAGGTACTAAACTCAAGATAGTTTATGAGATGTTATTTCAAAATGAAGGCAAGAGAACAGTCTTCTTCTGTCTTTCTTCATACCTGTTAACCACAAACCTTCCTGAGAGCAGCCAATTTTAGAAACTTTCCTATGGAAACAAGTCTTATAAAGGAGTCAGTGTATGGGACCCACAAGTACTTCTTCAGGATGGTTTCAACTGGATATTAGCAGAGAGCACACAGGCACAGATTTAATTAAAGTGAGAAATCATACAAGTTTGTATCTTCAGTTTTCTAACCAGTAATAGACCAAGTAAACCAACTTCCTGAAATAGCCTAATATTCCAGTTCTAATATGAAAACAGAACCCCAATACTGGGAGAGCAATCAGAAGTCAAATTTCAACCGCATCAGCTCCAGGAAGTCGGGGGGCGGTCGGGGGGAACAGGATGGACACAGGCCCGTCCAGTGAGCAGTGCCTGGGCACACAGAGCAGCTGCACAGAGGAGCCCAGTCTGGCCTTCCTTCGAGAAGTGGACAGTCTAGTGGCCAGAGACAGCTACGACAATGATCGTGTAGAATACAGAGAATGGAGAGCAGGGAGCGTCCAAGAAAAAGCGGCGATGCTGAGGGGGCTCAAAGGCAGGAGAGGGCACACCCCTCCAGGCAGACAGGGATCTGAAACATAGGATGCACACAGCTTCCCCTCATGCTGACGAAGGGCAGGTGCTCTAGGCAGGTGTACAGGACCCACGGCAAGCGGTGGACACTCTCCTGGAGACAAATGGGAAGATACCAGGGCTCACGGTGCTGTGACACCTAGGTGTGAAGTACACCCACAGCACACCACGAGCACGGGCACCGAGGGGTGCCAGCAACACACATCTGGGTTTAAATCCTGTGCTACAACTCAAAAGCCACAACGGGTAACTCCGCAAGCGATATGATACCACCTACTCTGTGAATGTGCATCATACATAACCTGCCTTACTGCAGAAAGAACTTATATGTACGCAGATATCCACAGTAGAGCAGAATGAAGTAAATTTTAATCATACTGGATGGGAGGAGAAACTAGGAGGATAAGAAAGGGTTCTAAGACTAGATCAGTAAAATCCCCCTCTTAAAATTCTACATTCATGCTACTGACCAGCCACCAATTTAAACTTTTTCACAGCTAATTTGAAGAGGCAGATCTAACTGGTTAAAAGATTCAGGGTTAATAAAATGCAAACAAAACAAGACAGAACAGCCACCAAAGGTGCTTGGAACACCAGAGGCACCGTCCCCGCTAGGGAGAAGGGAGCCGGCCATTTGCCTGGCAGTCACCCCACAGAGGGCATGCCTCTGTCAAGGTGAACAGGGAGGCCAGTTTTTACATGTCTTGAACAAGAGCTGAGGCAATCCCACAGGGCAACTCAATAAAAGGGCCTCCAGAGGGCCACCGAGACAGTCCCGACAGATACTAGGTTAGAGCAGGTATTGATTTCAAAGGGTCTCAGCAATGGTGAACCTAACATCCTCTAGACAACTGTGAAAATTCATTCTCTTTTAAACAGCCTCCTGGTAGATATTTAGTAGGAGCTGAGTTCAAGATTATGCTCTAACAGAGTGAAGACCCATATTCTTTAACAACCAGCTGAACTAGAACTAGGAGCATTACTGACACCCTCTAGTGAAAATACAGAAGCCTAACCCTATAGGTCAGATTAGGTCCCACCACCATGCCCCGGGGGCTCAAACAACAATGCTCATGTGAAATCAGGTTTGTTAAATGCTGGCACAGTGCCTACAAACAGTGGCTGCCCCTCATGTGGCACCTGAGCTGGCTGCCTGGCCTGGCTGGTGACAATACCCCTCCTCCACTCAGCCAACAACACAGTCCCCCTGCTATGTGTCAGGCACTGCACCAAGTACTCTGCGTGCACTTCCTCTACCGACCCTCCCAGGAGGGTCAAGTCCTTGCCCAAAGTCGTATTCCTAGAACCGAGAGAGCCAGGATCTGAACTCAGACAGGAGCCCCCAGGTGGACACTGTCATGATAATGAGGTCAGAGTGTGACCATCACTCTTGAGGGGCAGGTTTCACAGAGATCCCAAACCTGGGCAGCACCCTCAAAACTTCAAGCAAATGGACAAAGAGAGTTGGTCCTCACTTACTGGAAAAGAACTCAGAAGGAATGCCTCTGAAGCATGACCTCTGAGGGTGCTTTCACTGGAGTGGCCACCCTCTGGAACCTCTGACCACATTTAACAGAATGTGAAGACATACGTTTTGGTGAACACTTAGAAAGCTTTAAGCCAGATTTGCCAGGTCATAGCCTGCTGGATTGCAGCTGTTTCTGACATGTTCTAGTAACCTTACCTTCTACTCCTCCAAGTGTAACCAAGTACTGGAGACACAAAAATTGAAAAGAGATTAGTAATGATAAGCAAGGAATCAAGAAGGCACAATTGTCAAATGAGAGTAACGAAATTTTTTTTTTTATGTCCATTTTTATTTTTGAGAGAGAGAGAAAGAAAGAGCAGGGGAGGGACAGAGAGAGAGGGAGACACAGAATCTGAAGCAAGCTCCAGGCTCCCAGCTGTCAGCACAGACCCCAACATGAGGCTCGAACCCATGAAACATGAGATCATGACCTGAGCCAAAGTGGGACACTCAACTGACTG